TACATGATTTAAAAACTTGTTAAGGTTTCATAAAGGTTCAGAAGTACTGAATTCATAATGCATATGGTGTAGAAACTCGTTCATAGGATTACGGTTTAGGTTAGGGTTGGGGTTGTAGCATCTCAATAAACACCTCTTCTATAAAATCCGATGTAAACCGATTGCATGTTAGCACCCTAACCCCTAACCTAACCCTAAACCCTAACACAAACCCTAACCTAACCCTAACCTTAACCCTAAACCCTAACCCTACGGATGAGTTTCTATACCATATGCATTATGAATTGAGAACTTCTGAGCCTTTATGAAACCTTAACAAGTTTTTAAATCAGGTAAAAGAAGAATAGCTACTGTAATTTATTACTTTCTTGTAATATATTTTCACTTTATATTGTCTTCTGATTGGCTAATAATTGGAATTGCTCAAACGCTTCTGATTGGCTCGTCGCTAAATTGGAGTCTCGCCCTCACGATTTTAAACAACAGAGCTTCAGTTGAGTCAGCGCGTCCGTTGTATATATGTTCTATGAAGTGTTTTTAGTGAGACAAACACCCTACAAGCTTGGAAAATGAGTGCCTCTCACAACGGTGGTTAATGAGCTAATCAAAAGCTTATGAAAAAAGGAATATATATAATAATCTAGTTACTCAAAAATTATACAAGAATATGTAAAACGATAGTCCATAAGTTAATCCTGACACTTGCCATCCCTTCAGTTTTCGTTGAATATAACAAGCAGTAGCTTTTCCGTGAACAACTCTAACCAGACACCTTGATGCGTTAAATATTCTCACTGTAAATCACACGTGTTCATCAGGAGTGACAGATTCTTAGGTATACACTTGATGTGTTAACAAGCAGGAGGTGGTTATAAGGAAGTCACACTACCCATTAAGGTTTTCTAATAGTTGTGAAACTATGACATACCAGGAACTTCGCTAAAACGAAGCCTACTCAACACCGTATGAAATCTAAAAAAGGGCTCCAATAGCTTCGACAAGAAAGGGAGACAGCCATTTGTGTATCATAATACTGTTTTTAGCACTATATTTTATAACTTCACGTAATCCCATACTCTCAGCTTCTTTCTGAACCACATCCATTTAACAGTTGTTTATCCACTCACACCATGTTCACAATTACTTTCTTTAACCTGTTAAAATGCTCTTGCTTAATAAATACGTTTAAAAAATAGAGAATTAAACTGAGTAGTCATACCTTAACTATTCCTTCTGCTCTGCTTCTCGTTTCTTCTTTTTCTTGCACCCTTTTTCAGTCCCCTCGAGATGTGCCACCGAAAACAGATATGGAACAGGTGGCTTAGTCCTGTGTCATCATCAAAGCTTCAAATATTCCAGAGGGATATAAGGTTGCGATTTCTAGAAGCCCCCAACTTCAATGGATCTATTCTTGATCATCAGTTGCACGTCGCAACGCAACTTTCATGAAGCGCGTCAACTGTGATACTGACTAAAAACATCTACATTCATATCTTGTAAAATATCAACCGAGCTGAGTAATTTACTCCAGTGAAAATTTGTATCGTTTGTAACAATTTGATCTTTCCTGAAAACCGGCATGCCTCATGTGACAAACTGTTATTTGAGAATAAATTATTATTATTATTAGACTTTACTCTGAGACACTCATATTTTGGTAGTTTCTGTCAGATGGTCGTTTTCCGCATTACCTACTTCATGCAACCTGTATATCTTATTGGTCAGAAGTACAGAGTTCATACATAACGAGTTGTTTGTTTTCGATTTGAAAAGCATATGTCTTCGTCTCCTTTTTCGCTTGAATAAGTTTTATGTGATGGTGTTTACGAATGAGTTTTCCATTCCACTTCTAGCCAACTTTGTTTGTGACAGTCTACGAGTAGAGTTGTTAGTCGCGATTTCTTTTGGTTTTAAGCCACGCGTTATATGACCTATCCGAAATCATGTAGATCCAGGCTGTTAATAGATGTCCATTGGCATCAAGCGCCTTTAGAATGGTAGTCGTCATTTAGAATGAGGGAAAGGTTTTATTCGTTAATAGGGGTTGAGTATCTTGGTCCTTCTTGACTAAGCGTGCCATACGTTGAGTTAAGAGACTTAGACTTTAAGAAACGTTTCATGAGCTTCACTCTTGAGTGTCACAGACTGCGTCCTCAGCGTCCATGTTTTATAGAATACATTTGACGAAAACTTTCCTACCGTGGTTGTAGCTAAGAATGAATGTGGATTATTAAAAGTAAACTGTTAGAATTGATTAAACGTGTAACGAGCATGAAAATGTGACCCACCTATTAGATTTAATCAACGATAAAGTTAGTTGTAATTATGTAGTTGCATTACCAAAGTGCTAGTATGGAGTTCATAATAATAACGAGTAATCCCTAGGACTTAAAAACGTAGTCTAGTATTCATGAATATGGTAGCATAGAAGTAGAAAATCAGTCCATGGATACATGCGTATTTATTTTTTCGTAACTGGAATAATGAGCCAATCAGCAATGTACCGAAAAATCATCGCTATACGTAAGCATCACGTTAAACACATCTTAAATAGAGATCTAAATTGTTTAATTCACTTTACGCAGTTCCAGTGAAGTTCTATGTGACTCTTGACTGGGTTGAATATAATAAAAGATCGAAAAATTACTAATAGGAACTGGAATGAAGTCACTTAGTCCTCGCAATGCATTCGATCGATAAGACAGTTGTGTTTACTCTAATCACTAGTATCCGTAATTGTACTATAAACCCCGCTTTAAGTGATTTTTCCTTTTCTTCACGTATGTAACGTCCAACATGTTGTAACTTTAGTTCATTATGGCTTCCAATGAAGCGCTAGATACTCGTCCTTTTGCAAAGGTAAAATCGCAACTCAATTTTATGATAGGGTACAGTTTTTATAAAAGGAATAATTAACATGAATTATACCAAAATACTCAAACGAACAGACACACTAAGTGGAATAGCGTACCGAGTTACTAAAAATTTTTTACAATTAAATCTTAAATGCACGTTGCCTGTTCCTGACGTTGTGAAGCATCAGTGAACCGTTCGACATTCAGTGACATGGTTGCCGGATATATATATATATATATATATATATATATATATATATATATATATATATATATATATATATATATATATATATATATATATATATATATATATATATATATATATATATAATATGTATGTGATTCTACAATTAATCATAATTCTTTAAATTTAAGCCTACATTCAAGGTTGTAAGACAACAAAAACAGTCAACTGTAAACTAGTCAAACATAAAATTGCTGGGTTCCAAACAGCTAAGTAAAAATATGTTTCAACCAATAAGAGCATAGCCAGTTTATCGATAATTAATTTAACCAGTGAGATACAAAAAATATGGATGAAGCCTGATTACTAATAAGTAATCTAGTCATAAAACAAGAATTAAACCCATAATTTCTACTTTTTTATGACTGGGACCACTGGTAACGTTTTTTACTCGACGATGCCAGATTTAATCCCATGTAGATTAATCCTGTTGATGAACGTAAACTAAGCTTCGTGTCAGTTGATTCCAAAATAATAACGTCAAACAAATGTACTTCTATGTCGTATCCATTCCAACTGATCGTTATCAATAACTGCCAGATTAAAATAATACTATTTACTACTGAGTAACTAAGTAGAGGAAATGATAAGGTTATAATTTATGGACGAACTAATCACATTTTGGATAACAGATCTTGAATTTTGGTGTGAAATTCATTCATTCATTTGATAAAATAGTGTTTTGACATTTTAGCTGATGTCAGTTTGTGACTATAACCCTAAATCTAATTCCTAACCATAACTATCAATTGTATATCAAAATCCTTACTCTTCACATATGTTTATAAAGTTCATCTAGCCTTAGTAAGTTGGGGGACATTCTCAAGGTTATATCAACGTCACTTACAAGTTACCCATAAATTAGAGTCTCACGAAAGAAAATATCAAAAGGAGTTTTGCAGAGATTTTAGTAATTTCAATAGTTGAAATCATGAGTCAAGTGGAGCTAGACCACTATGGAAAACCTGGAAACACCGGACGGCCGTCTCGTTTTATTGTGGGATTCCTCAACAGTGCTCATCCGCGATCCCACCCCCACGAAATTCGAACCCGGGACCTATCAGTCTCGCCCATGAGCGCTCCACAAAACTCCTTCTGATATTAATCATCTGCTCACTAGTGATTGACTTCAAGAAGCATTTCCTGGAGTTCTAGTGAGAAGCTGTGACCAGTGGAGTTCAACCAGGTCTGTTGTGAGATATCAACTCATTGAAGACAACGGTGTACGGTGGCGCGATTTCGTGGATTGGTTGGAGTTAGACATTAACACCATTGGATACCGGTTAATGATTAAGCGCCCGTGCGCGAAATTGATAGGTTCTGGGTTCGAACCTCGCGGGGGCCGGGATCGTAGATGCACACTGTTGAGGAATCCCACAATAAAACGAAACGGCCGTCCAATGTTTCCAGGTTTTCCATATTGATCTAGGTTCAATTGACTCATGATTTCAACCATTGAAAGAAATTATATTTATCACGTTTAATAAAATTAATAGAATAAGATAAGTAACTGTAAGTATAGAAAATATCGCTTAGAATTAAAATCGAATATAATAATTTAACGAATGTGTACTTTATTTGCCTATATAATGATAATCATAATGATTTATTCATTTTATAATTAATAGATTTGTTTATCTTATTATTATTACATAATCAGTGAATAGTAACGTTATAATTTGATACATCGATTGTAATTTGATTATGTTCATTTGTATTGAGTTTATTATTAACTTGATGGGTAAATAAACCTCGTCTTGTTTTCTTTCTTTTCTTTTTTTTCTTTTTTTTTGTAAAACAAATACAAGATTTATGTAAATATAAAAAAAATAGAGAAAGAAAAAAGAGAAAACTATTTCAAAATAACAATCTATAAAAATGTGTTTATATAAAGAGAAGAAACAATTTGAAACGTTTATAATAGAGAGAAAAAAAAAGAACGAAGCATGTATGCGATTATCCTATTTTATGCTTTATATTTCACTATTAATGGAAAGTGTAAGTTAACTTTATAATTAATGACATGGTTACAATTATTGTTTTACTTTCCTACATTCTAACTTTTTTTTTTGATGAGACTATAATTTATTGAATGAACTAATTAGATTTAAGAGAATAGGTCTTGGATTTTGGTGTGAAATTCATTCATTCATTTGATTAAATAGCGTCTTAGCATTATAGTTAATGTCAATTTGTAATGATAATCTTAAATCGAATTCCTAATCATAACCATCAATTGTAAATCATAATCTTTATTCTTTAAACTACTTTACACTTCTTATTTAGTTCTAGTAAGTAGGTAGACACTTTAGAGTCACTCAAAGGTCGTCCATAAATTATAGTCTCAATCTACTTTTTAAAGAAAAAAAATACATTAAACGGTTACAATTAATTTATATTATAAATAAAGTAATTGTTTGTTTATTCAATTTGGTCATTTGTGAAGATGATTTCATTTATAGAATTAACTTTAAAACAAAAAGAAAACTCATTCAAATGTATTTCATCTCTTCATAATTCGATCATGGAAACTGGAAGTCTTAAGTATTGTCATAACTGAACGGCAGCAGATTTGAGGGTAGCGAATTATCGATCGGACCAAAGACGCGCAAACACGTAAAACGACCTAGGGTTCTGATTGGCCCCGCCTCCCTGTCTAGCCCAGCAGTTGAGTCCAGAACGCAAGTCTCAGCCTCGGAGATATGAATCATTATATTTCAAACATACTTTGTTTATATACCAGTCAATCAGACCACAACGTACCATAAAATAGAAAATAACATTGTACAATATTGACCAGTAGGAAAATAACACGTGAAATAAGTACTGACCAATAAGAAAATCATACCATGTCCAAGTCCAAGAATAGCATTAAACTTAATAGGATAATTTTTGGGATATTTTCCTGAATATCCCAACAAGTATTTACTGAAAGTCTTAAAAGTATCTATCATCTCTTTATCTTTCCAATTTATTTTCTATTGGAAAATATTCTCCCACTACTATTAATTTTCTTTTTATTTATTAACGAATAAAGATTTAAGTGCTTATTACAATTTTCTTAAATGTAAAAATAAATAGTTGAGGTCATGAGTCAATTGAAACTAGACCACTATGGAAAACTTGAAAGCACTGAACGGTCGTTTCGTTCGACTATGGGATTTCTCAACAATGATTCCAGGTTTTCTATGGTTTTCTAGATTTAAATAACTCATAATCACAACTATCAAAATTATTTTAATGTCTATAAAACCACTTCTGATAGTAAAAACAAATGTCGAAAAGAAAACAAACAAAACATATATTCAAAAGTTTCTATACAATTTCACTTGATAGTTGAATTTTAAGAAAAGTATGATTTTTGCTTCATTTATTAACCATTCGTTTTTCAGTTATAAATAATCTTTAAGAAAAAGAAATAAGTAGTAAATAGCTAAATAAGTAGTACAAATTAATGAACAGTTATCTAGTGGTTAAGCGCTCGTGCGCGAGACTGACAGATCATGGGTTCGAATCCCGCGAGGCGGTGTCGTGAATGCGCACTGCTTAGGAGTCCCACAATACGACGAAACGGCCGTTCAGTGTTTCCAGGTTTTCCATGGTGATCTAGATTCAATCGACTCATGATCTCAACTATTGAAAAGAAATCTGTAAAATAATAGTTTAATTCAATAATACAACATAAATTTAATCAACATAAACATTGTAGAAAGTGAAAACAGTGAAATATGAAACCAAAGGTAATATCTATTTATTCATTGTGTAAATTAAGGCTAGAATTCTTTTTCAACTGTCTGTTATGGATATACCCATTATACTGTTATCCAACATCCTGAATTAAAAACAAACACAAACCTAATAAAAATTGGAGTTTAAAATGAAGTCTTTAATGAAAGTTACATTCGTATCTGTAGCGTTCACTCTCTGAACAGATATTAAAAATGACCAAAAGTTTTAGGTCTAATAAATACGGTAACGATTGATAACGTTGTGGATGAAATCAACATTTAGACTATTTTAATGACATCTAGTTGAATAATATAAAAAAGGTAGGATAATTAAGTTTAGCTTAAATGTGAGTAGTGCAAATGCTTATTCACAAAGTAAACCCCTTAGTAACTATATTGTCTATTACACAATATTATAATGTTAACAAGGATGATGATATAGTCAAATTGTAGTTTTATTTATTGTTATACTTATGCATAACTTTCAAATTGTATTATTATTTTGTTAGTTGAACATGTATCAGGAAGAATCGTGAATTCAGACAAATTATCAGGTGGGTAAATTATTCAATAGTTTGGTACGTATAGTATAGATTATATTTTTACTAATCTCATCAGTATAGTTTTATTAGAAAGTATTGCAAGTTATAATAGTAATGAATTTTCAGGAAGTTAAGACAACTATTACAACCACAATTAAACATTATTCAACAAAACCATTCTGAATTTTGCTTGTATCAAACATATAACGTGTGTTTATACGAATATTTGTCAATATTAGAATGAATAGTTTGACAAAAATTGGGCGCCGAGTATAGAGAAGTCATTATATGTGAAAACTATATTTGAATTAATCTCAGAGATTGAAAGTTAAATCATTTCAACGTTTCGTCCAACTAACTTGTCTGAACTTCTTCAGGGTAGAATAATCAAAATCAAAATCATTAAAGAAATATATAGCTTTTAACAATCAAAACTATACTGTGTTAAACCAAATATATTTGGATGTTGATTTTTATAAAATAGAATAACATGAGTCTTGTGTTTTTTCCAGATTCATCTGCTTCAAAGATGCCTAACTTGAAAATTTTGACAGATCATAGTAAGTATAATACGTTTTATAAGATTATCATTGAAAATGAATGGGTACATGGCAAGAATTCGTAATTTATTGATGATCAAATCTGAGATACTTCCTAGAGGCTGCTAAATTTTTATTTTAATTACGGTTTCTTTTCGGTTTATTTGGGATTGTTGATGCTTTTGTTTATATGTACTGTGAGATTGTCTTTTCGTACAGTGTTCTCTTAGAGATTTTATCTTCAGATTTGTGCTAAAAGCTTAATAGAAACAAATTGGTTTATCGAGATTAAACGGTATATTTAATCTCCGAGATATAATATTTAGACAAATGGTGTAAATATTATGTTTGACCATAATGGTGTGTTATATAAACTGTAAATTCACGAATTTTCTATATGACAATTAAAACAACGTTAATCAAGATACAATTATGTTATTTTTATAGGTTTATTCCTTATTTATTTAAACACATAAACATTGGTACATGGAAGCACCAAATAGATATGCACCACATAAATCATTCGATTTGTGTGAGGGATAAGATACTGGCTGGGTGCCCAATTTCAAGCAGGTGGTTTTCTTAGGGGGCCACACCCAGAGCCTTCGACCTGAAGGTCTGACCCACAAGGCAGAGGAGCAAAGTCAGGACATACAATCCCATGGTAGCCGGTGACCAACGATTAGTTCATACGCCATTTGTTCCCTCAGGATGCTGTAGCCCATGTGCACCATTGGTTTGGAATCAGGGTTTTCCAACTCCTCTAGGTGGACTCTCCGTATCCATCAACCCGGTTAAAGCTCCGGACATTCGCTTTTCGTCCTCTCAATTTCATGAACAACACCACCTCCACGAGAGAGCAGTGAGTAGAACTTCCCTGGCAGTGGGTTTTCGCACGTGGCCATGTGAGAGTATTTCGAAGGGGCGAGCTGACTCTCCTCACTCTCGGCTGTACCAGGGCACTTGGGGTCACTTTGTATAAGAAATTATTACCTATTCTCTGAAAATAATTAATTTATTTGGGATTAATTTCTGAAGGTGTTAGGGATAACTATTTGGTGTTAGCCACATTCGCTCACCAATTCACAAATTCTAACTCAAATCTAGACTGTTATCCAAAAAGTTTATTACCTACTAAGTCTTAAATATTTACTCTGAAATTACAATAATTTAATGGATCGCTACCGTAACTTATAATTTTTCATTTTGTCAATCTTAAGATACCATACCTACTAAGTCTGTGTTGAATTGACCAATAGCCATATATATTGTAACTCTATCAGATACTAGTTGATATAGACCATTTATATGTTTCTGTAACAAAATTCTCAATTAATTTTCTTGATCTAACTCTATTGTAAGTTTAGGTTAATATTCATCACTTTCAAGTCGAACTTTTCTATACATCTCAAAGTAATAAAAAGACATTGTTTCAATCTTATTAGTTTTATGACACTTCCTTCAGAACATGTAAACAATTCACCTTTATTTCCGGTTAGATATCCACATACCACAGAAATCAAATAATCGAACTTCATGCAACGGTACAGGTGAGTGTATAATTACGCATAATATTTTTTCTTTGTGTGTGTGTGTGTGTGTCAGAATGACATAGTTGTCTGAAATATTTCATTTATTTGTACAACATTCTGTAGCTAATTAGTATAGTTTTAATTCACTTGATATAGTTTTTTTAATTATTTTAATCTTACTATTGATGTTTTAGGACTGAAGTTGATCAGTCACATATGCCAATAAGAGACTGATCAACTTCAGTCCTAAAACATCAATGGGAAGATTCAAATAAAACAATATCAAGTGAATTAAACTTCACCCCATTGCACAAGCAAGTGGCTATCAGGACTCAGTAGCTAAGTGGATAACGCGATGGCGTTTGAAGCGAACGGTACTGAGTTCGAGTCCCAGAGTGAACATCAACTCTGAGATGCAGGTACATCCAGCTGACGAGTCCCAAACAGGACGAAACGCGCGTCCTGGATTCCACTGCTAGCCACTATCCATCTCTGCTTATAGTATAGTTTTAATACAATCTTTCTAAAAAAAAACTATGATTTTGAAAATGATGTTGCTAATGAGATTAAAGTTAAACATTATTTGATGTTATTGTGCTACCTTGTTCATGTATTAAACACAGCACATATTTCTTAATTCTTTAGATAAATGTGAACTTCAAAAATCAAGCAAAAATGTTTCTATCACCACTACGAGTAAGTGTAGATTAATGTAAAGTATTATAATATTGAGAATATATGTCAATTTCAGAAATAGAAGTTTTTCAATAGAAGCTTATTAATTGATTTGATACAGGGTTCGAATATTAATAGCCGTTGTATGTGGTTAAGGGTACATTTCAATGAAATAAGGGATGTGCTGTTTTATCTTCAATTTATTGTCACTAGTCGTGATTGGAAGAGTTTACGAAACTCACTAGGCAACTCATTAGGCCAGTTTTTAAATCATTTTAAGAGACTCCTCAAACCTAAGACTTACCCTAAATTTCATAAATAAAACTTGTTTTTTATATGAACAAACTCTAAAAGTATACCTCCATTTGCACTCCTCATATTCAGTTTCTCATTCAGGGTTCAAGACACAAAGACTTTTAGGAACAGAGAACTGAACAGGTAGTCTATGTCTACGGCATTCACTTTATGAGATGAGCTTAATCACCACACCATAGTGGTAGTGTAATGTATGCTACTTATACGAACAAATATAAGTAGTATGTATCAGGAATTGGGAGTAGGCTTCTTACTGATAATAGAAGAATATGAGAAGAAGAGAAATAAAGACAAAAACAGTAGGAGTAGGAACAGGAATAAAAGAACAAGACAAATCAAGAAATATGTGCAAATGGTGTACTCAATTTATCATGCAGTGTTTGATTCATTTCAATAAGTTGGTTTACCCTATCTAAGTCTCTATATATTATACTGGCTGTAGTCTGCAGTTGATGAAAACAACAATTAACGTTACCTATGAAAACTGCTTCTCACAGAGTATTACTATCTTCCTCTGCAGTCCAATATAAGCTTGCAATGAAAAGATATGTCGAGCATGAAAAGCCTTTCTTAAAACCATTTTATCGCCTAACTAAAAGATTATTCCATTTCACATGGTTTAGATAACCCTCCTGAATAATATTGTTGGCGACTACAGCGGTTGAACTAACGGGCTGATTGTTGCTAACTAGGTCTTTATCCTTGATAATTTAGACTGCAAAAGAGACATATCAGACAGTTTTGTCAGAGGTTTGGTAATTACATCAGTCAGGGTTGTCATAATTTTGGGATGAATACCTTCGAGACCATTAAACTTATCTCGTCTGGAGTGTTGAATTAATCCTAAAACAACTCCTTTCTTATTAATCAGATGATCTATCGACAAGTCATCATTATTATAATTAACGGATGGTCTTTCTTCATCGTTGGTAGAAGCCACTTTACCAAACTATTCCAATAAAACTTCAGCCTTTGCAGCATCATTTCTTATCAACATCAAGAAAGCTTTTTTTTAACAAAAGTGCCAGGATCCCATCACTTCTCTGAGTTCATCTCTTTATACACATGAACAACCTTTTTCAGATAATTTCAGATTATTCACAAACCTGAACCAATCGTTTTTCATACAAGAATCTTAGCTTGCTTATTAACGCTTTGCATACGTCCCTAGATTTACCTCAGACACAAGTTCACAACTTTACAGTAGGTGAGTGCATATTGGTTTACATATATTCACATTACTTCTTCATATGCTATGCAGGGAAATTATGTACCAATGCTAGTAAAATGATTCCAAGTAACGTTATAGTGAATTACTTATTTTCATTGATTAACATAATCCAAATATAATTTTCCTACAAGTATATATTCATGAAACCAAAGGAAATATTACATACAAAATTAAACATTAAATTCATTTGGTATTGTTTACTCGAATCTTCCCATTGATGTTTAGGACTGAAACTGATCCGTCTCTTATTGGCTTATGTACACACTGTGTGAATTGTCTCCATATTGCCTTAATTCACAAGTATTATAAGCAAAGATGGATAGAGTGAACATCAACTCTGAGATGCAGGTACATCCAGATGACGATTCCGAAATAGGACGAAACGCGCGTCCTGGATTCTACTGCTAGCCACTATCCATCTTTGTTTATAAAATAAGACATTATTTTACGAAATCAGCATGCAATTTCCATATATTAAACATAAAACTTATATATTTTCTTTCAGCTCCCCACGTTCCAACAACAACAACACACCAGAAACTTCCACAAAATCATACAAGTGAGTCCATTGTTTCACAATTAAAGATTTATCATTGAAAAATTGGTAACTAATGCTATTACACTTCCGGATTTTCTCTAAATTCATATTCTAAAGAAGATTTTGCACACTATTGAGGTCCGTTAATGAGTGCGTAAATTTTTATTGGGTTAGTCTTTCGTCCAATGTTTCTTCAGAAAACCTTACTTCAAATTTATGTTAAAAGCTTGACATAACTGAAACATGTTCCAGTAACATTGAATTTTCGATGGAAATGAGTATAGTTAAACTTGAATAAATGATATATAATGCTAGTATTGTATTCTATGAACATATAATGAGTAATGCGAATTGCAAATTATTAACATTTACAAAATGTGACAATTGATGGAATAGGTATTGAAGAGAAATGTTTACGAAAATTTGATGAAATGGGTTCAAAATCGCTTATATCAGCAGTGCTGATATAGATCTCGAATCACAATCGGTTCTTTACTGCTTGGTTCTGTGAATAACTATTAAAGAAAAGATAACTAGTATTTAAGTAAAAGGACAAAAGAAGTATTTATTGATTGAGATCATGACCGATTGATTGACCACCGTTGGAAACCTGGAAGCACTTAACGGCCGTTTCGTCCTATTGTGAGACTTCTCAGCAATACGCATCCACGATCCCGCTCTCAGGTTCTGAGCCCGGGGCCTTCAGTCTCGCGCGCGAACGCTTAACCTACTGGGCCTCTGGGCCGGATCGAATGGTGTTAGTGTCTAACACCAACTACTCCACGAAATTGCGTGACCAACTTCCACTGTACTGAGGTGGATAGCTGTCACTACCCGACATGGATTAGCTCCACTGGTCAAGGCTTCTAACTGGAACTCCGAGAAGTTTCTCACGAAGATAGTCACTAGTGAGCACATGTTAATGATCAGTATAGGGGTTGTGGATGATCTCAATCAGAAACTTAATAATCTCCACAACCCTTATACTGTGAAGTATTTATGTTCCATTAAGTACAAGAGATAATAAGTATATCAAGAAAGAACACGGAATAGTTTATACAGGATTCGATAGCGCAATCAATATTAATTGATCAACAATTTAGATCAATTAACTTCGCTTGAAATACTAAGTGGAATATGAATTAGCATGGAAAACTCACATATTAATCACGATGCCTGCTAACATTTATCATGACATCAAAGTTTGAACCCGATGTAAATAACATAAGTACTTTCTAATCATACTTAACTTGTGAAATAGTGTTGCCGTATTGCTTTACTTTTGTCATTTTACTAATACGTTTTATTATGTTTCTTGTTTCTTAGTTGCTCATGGAACAAAAGCAACTCCTGTTGCACCTAGTAAGTCGCTTCCTATCTTATTTAAAAATTAATCGTGGGAATGTTTTGCAGTTTTGTTTTATCTGTGTCATGAGTTTATGGAACTAGAGTTTTATGAATTTCTATAAGTTTTGTTAGATCTTGACAATCTTCTTCTGTGCTGTAGAACAAATGGATTAGTTTCTTGTGATGATTAGAAGTATTTGAATTATTGTAATAACTGGGACTTCCCGAAATTGTGCAATTTACAGCAAGTAGAATGAGATGAACATAGATGAACGTATTGTATTTGGCATTCAAAATCAGGCAGTCAATCCAACCCAAAAATTTATTAGTTTGTGTTGGTTGCTATTCAATATACTCCTTAGTCTTCGTATACAGTTTGTGCTGATTACCTTCACTAAATAACGCCTAAACGGTGTAATAATGGGAAGGCGGATACTAAGTGTTAATAACGTTTATTATTGCACAACGCACAGATCATCAAAATCACAGGTACGCTTAGAAAGCATGAAAGGGTTGTACAGAAAACAAAGCGGGCAAGCGAGTAAGTGAGTGAACAGGATTAGAATGTACATATTAGTGAAATGAATGAATCATCGAATCAATTAAGCGACTAATAGTAAGGCTAGCGGAATGGATATGTGCGTAGGCAGTAAGTAATACTCAAGCATACATATCATACAAATGCAACAATAATAAAGGTACAATGGTACAGATAAGTTGTAATTGTACGAATGAATGTCCGTTGATTAAGTTGGCAAAAGGGCTTAACCATATCAAATGTGAACAGACTCAATTGCACGTGAGCTGCTATAACAGCTCCCTCCAGCAAACAAAGATACAAAACAGTGTCTGTGCCTGCGAAAGAAAATTGTTAAATTAAACAGGGCAGTAAATATCGAAATTTACGAAATGAAGATGTATGATAGAACTATCGTGGACGTTATTACAAATAAGTGTAAGCTTGATTTTGTGCACGTCTGTGAGGTCAGGTAAGATAATAATAGATCAAAATAATACAGTACTACTTCTAAAAGTTTATACATATTGATATCAGAATATAAAAAATATGTCGAATATAATAATAAATAAGTTAAAAGTTCCTATGTGCACATACAAAACAAAGATTGACAAACAAAATTCACATCTGAAGAGGTGAAAGAAATTATTAATTCAAAATCGTAGCTATGTATCGTTGCGGCCATTTCACTCTTCGATCATATCTCGTTATTGCCTGATTCTCTTCGTTGTTCTTCGTCGATGTCGTTGATGATTGGAACTCACGTTCTGGCGATTCAACGGTTTTCGAAGGATCTGTATGTACTGGCTGATCGTCAGCGTCGATGGAAGCTGGTTTGACTCGTTCGATGCTAATTACATCTGTTTTTCCAGCTTTATCTACCGTAATAATTTTATCAGTTCTTCTAATCATTTTAAATGGACCATCGTAGGCCTGTTGTAAGAGAGGCCGCACATTATCCTTTCTGATAAACACATGGGTACTGTCGATCAGTTGTTTTGGTATGTACACTCGGTTTGACGTAGCGTCAGGAACGTTACTCTTAGATTACTCATATACTGCCTTAGATGCTGTACATAGTTGACTATATCAGTTGGAGCACTTTTGCCTGAGGTGAAAAACCCTTCTGGTAGACGTAGATAGTCCCATAAACCAACTCTGCTGGGCAACATTCTATATCCTGTTTAATTGCTGATCTTAAACTCAACATGACTAATGGGGGCTTGTTGGCCCAATCGTTTTTGCTAATAAGAGCTGTAGGAGAGGCTTCAATTTGCTAATGTAATCTCTCTACCATACCAATCGCCATCGGATGATAGAATGTTGTTTGAATACGTTTGATTCCGAAGAGCTGTGTGAGTTGTTGGAAGAGGAGACTCTCAAAATGAACTCCTCTATCAGTTGTGATATTAGCAGGCACTCCATACTAAGAAATCCAATGCACCACTAGGGTTTTGACTATAGTTTGGCTGAAATTTCTTCGGTGGTCACTGCTACAGGCGATCACATTAATCTATCAATGCATGTGAAAATATAACTTGAACCATTTGAAATCTGCAGCGGTCCCACAATATCGATATGTATATGCTCAAACCCGCTATCGTGGTGACGAAAAAGACCTACGGTGGAACTAATGCAACTATGTATCTCAATTTCCTGACATTTTATACAAGTTTGCGTCCAGTTGAGAATATCCCTGTTCATACTTGGCCATACAAAACGCTCGGTGGTTAGTTTGATTGTGGGCCTTATTCTAGGATGCTATATATTATGCATAGCCTCGCAAACTTTTCGTTCTAGTGACTTCGGAATAACTGGTCGTGGTCGGCTCGTGGAGATACTACACGTGGTGCTTACTTTTTCGAGTTGAGTTTCTTTGGGTACCAAAGAGGTTGTGTTGGCAGACCTTAGTCTATTTAGCTCAACATCTATATTTTGCAATACTGCCTATTTGTGATAATCGATTTCAGATTAGATAAGAGCATTTATCATCGTTCTGGATAATGCGTTTGCCACTTCGTTATTATTGCCTTTAATATGCTGTATGCTAGATGGAAATTAGGAAATAATTTCTAATTGTCGAATTTCCCTCGGAGAATAGTTATCCTGCTTGGCGTTTCATGCTTTCGTTTATGATTGTTTTACGATCTGTTACATTGTGAAAATGGTACCCACTATCATATATGACAAATGCTTTATTACCAAGTAAATCGCTAACAGTTCTCTTCCAAACGTACTATACCTCGTCTGAGTAGGATTTAATCTCTTCGAGAAAAATGCAAGTGGTTCCCATGTACTGTTTACTAACTGCTGCAGTACTGCTCCCACTGCTATGTTCGATGCGTCCGTCATGACCACAAGTGGTGCTTTGCTCTTTCGTTGTACAAATATTGTCTTCTGATCTAGCGCTCGCTTAGCGTTCTCAAACGCCTGTATAGCCTCTGTTGATAGACGAAATGTTTGGGTATGTCTTCGCAAAGTGTCCATCAATGGTTGTAATATTGTTGAGCAGTTTGGAATTAATCATCTATGATAGTTTATTAGTCCCAAGAATAGTCATAATTTTCCTTGTGATTCGGGCAACGGATAATTACTAATAGCAGTAACCTTTGTTGGAGCTGGCATGGTACCTTGAGAATTTGCAACGATTCCTTTCCGAATTCACACTTCTCCACTTTATTAGTGACGCTTTGTTCCTGAGGTTTCGTAAACAACTGTCATAGATGTTGTAGATGTTCTTTCATGGTAGTGCTCGCTGCTAGTATACCATTGATATATGCGTATACTCCTGTCAAACCTATAAATACCTGATCAATGAATTGCTGGAAGGTTAATCCGATGGGCATTCGCAAAATCCTAAATGAGATAAATGGAGTGATTACAGTAGTTTTGGGTATACCTTCTGGTGCCACGTGTATGTGGTAATAAGCCCGAACAAGATCAATTTTTGAAAAGACCGTGGCACCTATATAGGTAGAGATGTCGTGGATGTGCAGTACCGGATATCTATTCGACATTAGTTTGTTTGTTAAGAGCTCTATAATCTCAACATGGTCTGATTTCTCCATTCTCTTTGACAAACATATGCAACGAGGATGCCCAGGGACTATTCGATGGCCTTATGACACCAAGTTTCATCAATTTTTCGAGTTCTTGTTTCGCAATATTCAACCTTTTTGGGCCTAGCCTTCGTGGTTTTGCGTTAGTCGGTTGATCTTTCATTACAATGTGGTGCTTTACAGTATGTTTAAGATTTCTGTTATTGTATGACGCTCTCGTCAAATCAGCGTACTCATTTAGAAGCAACCTATATGACCTGCTTTTGTCTTTTGACACCACTAAATTCATTGATACGTGATCGGTTGTCACTCCTTTTATCACTACTGAATGGTCTCCGTTCACAAGCCGGTTTCGTTGGGGATCCACAAGTAATTCGAAATTCTTTAATAAGTCAATACCAATTATAGGTACGGATACATCTACGATAAGGGATTCCCAGCAAAATGAAGTGCTGAGACTGAAATTCAAGTTCAATTTTTGCTTCTCATATGTTTTTATGTCGGATTTGTTTGCTGCTTTAAGGGTTAGTACTGTATTAATATTTCGTCTTTCGTTGAACGTCGCTTATTTCTGTTCCCGTGTCTACTAAGAATTGAGTGCATGTTACTCTATCCTGGACATAAAATAAATGACTGATTCCAAGAGCTGTGCTAGTTGTCGCAGCCGTTACGGACAACCTGTGGGATCGTTTAGATTTACATGGTGATCTATATTTTCTAGCTCTGTGGCCGAACTCCTAATGGTACCAGCGTGTTGTAGGAGCTGAGCGTCTCCTACAGCATGATCGGCTTCTATCTCTTGATCTACTTCGCGACCATCTTCTTTGTCCGTCGTCCTGACTTAGGTTCGTCAGTTCGTGGCATAAAACATCAATCTTTTCTTGTAACGCATCGATTCTTTCATCTTCTGTGGAGATATGCCTATGTGGACTCGTGTGTTCCATTCTCTCAAAAATCCTATCAGCTATTTTGGTGATGTTGTCTATGTCGACATTGCTGTCCCCAACTGCAAGGATCTGTTGCACGCAGTGGGAGTCGTCGTAGTCACAAGTGATAAAATATGTTTTTCTCTACGTTTCTGTCCCCGATCGCGTTACTCATAGAATTTTTTAACTGCGACGGAGTCCTATCTCTCATTTGCACCTGACTGGGCAGCTGCTGCCGGTCGGTTGACGAGACGGCTTTTATTACTGCCTGCTTTGGTACGTCGTATGGTTTCCCTGCGTCTGGCTTAGCTAAGACCTCTCGCAAATTGTCTGCTAGTTCATCCGGAAGTAGTAGGCATCCACGACCGAATTTATCTCGCTGTAAGTGAAAACGATTAGCTAAAAAGCAAGTTTTAAAGTCTAATGAACCAAAGATGAGAGTCAGTGACCTTAAAAGGAGGAATAGTAAGGTTAATGAACCTCATGGGCGGTGATTAAGGAAGGTCTATTGTGTCGTTATTTGAAGACATGTTAGTAAAAATTAAATAGTACGCGAATAAAATGAAAATGTCACAAAAAGAAATCATCACGAACTGACACAAAGACAGACCGATAAAAACAGTGATGATAACCAATGAAACGATTTAAAACATAGGACAAACTAATTAAATTGCACCAATATATCGATTGTTTGTGAAATATTGTTATTTATTATGAATATTATCGTTACGTTCAATAATGCTTGTGAGATAATGTGCGTGTAATTAAAATAGTGACGTAAGAAATCCAAAATTATGATCATAATCCAGATGATAACCCGAATTAAAACGGAGCGCGTTGGAAATTCGAAGTTATATTATGTCGTCGAAAATCTTTTCGTGTACGCATGTTGAGATCACCAATTCCGTGGCGGTCGGTTGGCCCAGATGTGACTATCATAAGTATTTTATAATCATACTTAACTTGTGAAATAGTGTTGCCGTATTGCTTTACTTTTGTCATTTTACTAATACGTTTTATTATGTTTCTTGTTTCTTAGTTGCTCATGGAACAAAAGCAACTCCTGTTGCACCTAGTAAGTCGCTTCCTATCTTATTTAAAAATTAATCGTGGGAATGTTTTGCAGTTTTGTTTTATCTGTGTCATGAGTTTATGGAACTAGAGTTTTATGAATTTCTATAAGTTTTGTTAGATCTTGACAATCTTCTTCTGTGCTGTAGAACAAATGGATTAGTTTCTTGTGATGATTAGAAGTATTTGAATTATTGTAATAACTGGGACTTCCCGAAATTGTGCAATTTACAGCAAGTAGAATGAGATGAACATAGATGAACGTATTGTATTTGGCATTCAAAATCAGGCAGTCAATCCAACCCAAAAATTTATTAGTTTGTGTTGGTTGCTATTCAATATACTCCTTAGTCTTCGTATACAGTTTGTGCTGATTACCTTCACTAAATAACGCCTAAACGGTGTAATAATGGGAAGGCGGATACTAAGTGTTAATAACGTTTATTATTGCACAACGCACAGATCATCAAAATCACAGGTACGCTTAGAAAGCATGAAAGGGTTGTACAGAAAACAAAGCGGGCAAGCGAGTAAGTGAGTGAACAGGATTAGAATGTACATATTAGTGAAATGAATGAATCATCGAATCAATTAAGCGACTAATAGTAAGGCTAGCGGAATGGATATGTGCGTAGGCAGTAAGTAATACTCAAGCATACATATCATACAAATGCAACAATAATAAAGGTACAATGGTACAGATAAGTTGTAATTGTACGAATGAATGTCCGTTGATTAAGTTGGCAAAAGGGCTTAACCATATCAAATGTGAACAGACTCAATTGCACGTGAGCTGCTATAACAGCTCCCTCCAGCAAACAAAGATACAAAACAGTGTCTGTGCCTGCGAAAGAAAATTGTTAAATTAAACAGGGCAGTAAATATCGAAATTTACGAAATGAAGATGTATGATAGAACTATCGTGGACGTTATTACAAATAAGTGTAAGCTTGATTTTGTACACGTCTGTGAGGTCAGGTAAGATAATAATAGATCAAAATAATACAGTACTACTTCTAAAAGTTTATACATATTGATATCAGAATATAAAAAATATGTCGAATATAATAATAAATAAGTTAAAAGTTCCTATGTGCACATACAAAACAAAGATTGACAAACAAAATTCACATCTGAAGAGGTGAAAGAAATTATTAATTCAAAATCGTAGCTATGTATCGTTGCGGCCATTTCACTCTTCGATCATATCTCGTTATTGCCTGATTCTCTTCGTTGTTCTTCGTCGATGTCGTTGATGATTGGAACTCACGTTCTGGCGATTCAACGGTTTTCGAAGGATCTGTATGTACTGGCTGATCGTCAGCGTCGATGGAAGCTGGTTTGACTCGTTCGATGCTAATTACATCTGTTTTTCCAGCTTTATCTACCGTAATAATTTTATCAGTTCTTCTAATCATTTTAAATGGACCATCGTAGGCCTGTTGTAAGAGAGGCCGCACATTATCCTTTCTGATAAACACATGGGTACTGTCGATCAGTTGTTTTGGTATGTACACTCGGTTTGACGTAGCGTCAGGAACGTTACTCTTAGATTACTCATATACTGCCTTAGATGCTGTACATAGTTGACTATATCAGTTGGAGCACTTTTGCCTGAGGTGAAAAACCCTTCTGGTAGACGTAGATAGTCCCATAAACCAACTCTGCTGGGCAACATTCTATATCCTGTTTAATTGCTGATCTTAAACTCAACATGACTAATGGGGGCTTGTTGGCCCAATCGTTTTTGCTAATAAGAGCTGTAGGAGAGGCTTCAATTTGCTAATGTAATCTCTCTACCATACCAATCGCCATCGGATGATAGAATGTTGTTTGAATACGTTTGATTCCGAAGAGCTGTGTGAGTTGTTGGAAGAGGAGACTCTCAAAATGAACTCCTCTATCAGTTGTGATATTAGCAGGCACTCCATACTAAGAAATCCAATGCACCACTAGGGTTTTGACTATAGTTTGGCTGAAATTTCTTCGGTGGTCACTGCTACAGGCGATCACATTAATCTATCAATGCATGTGAAAATATAACTTGAACCATTTGAAATCTGCAGCGGTCCCACAATATCGATATGTATATGCTCAAACCCGCTATCGTGGTGACGAAAAAGACCTACGGTGGAACTAATGCAACTATGTATCTCAATTTCCTGACATTTTATACAAGTTTGCGTCCAGTTGAGAATATCCCTGTTCATACTTGGCCATACAAAACGCTCGGTGGTTAGTTTGATTGTGGGCCTTATTCTAGGATGCTATATATTATGCATAGCCTCGCAAACTTTTCGTTCTAGTGACTTCGGAATAACTGGTCGTGGTCGGCTCGTGGAGATACTACACGTGGTGCTTACTTTTTCGAGTTGAGTTTCTTTGGGTACCAAAGAGGTTGTGTTGGCAGACCTTAGTCTATTTAGCTCAACATCTATATTTTGCAATACTGCCTATTTGTGATAATCGATTTCAGATTAGATAAGAGCATTTATCATCGTTCTGGATAATGCGTTTGCCACTTCGTTATTATTGCCTTTAATATGCTGTATGCTAGATGGAAATTAGGAAATAATTTCTAATTGTCGAATTTCCCTCGGAGAATAGTTATCCTGCTTGGCGTTTCATGCTTTCGTTTATGATTGTTTTACGATCTGTTACATTGTGAAAATGGTACCCACTATCATATATGACAAATGCTTTATTACCAAGTAAATCGCTAACAGTTCTCTTCCAAACGTACTATACCTCGTCTGAGTAGGATTTAATCTCTTCGAGAAAAATGCAAGTGGTTCCCATGTACTGTTTACTAACTGCTGCAGTACTGCTCCCACTGCTATGTTCGATGCGTCCGTCATGACCACAAGTGGTGCTTTGCTCTTTCGTTGTACAAATATTGTCTTCTGATCTAGCGCTCGCTTAGCGTTCTCAAACGCCTGTATAGCCTCTGTTGATAGACGAAATGTTTGGGTATGTCTTCGCAAAGTGTCCATCAATGGTTGTAATATTGTTGAGCAGTTTGGAATTAATCATCTATGATAGTTTATTAGTCCCAAGAATAGTCATAATTTTCCTTGTGATTCGGGCAACGGATAATTACTAATAGCAGTAACCTTTGTTGGAGCTGGCATGGTACCTTGAGAATTTGCAACGATTCCTTTCCGAATTCACACTTCTCCACTTTATTAGTGACGCTTTGTTCCTGAGGTTTCGTAAACAACTGTCATAGATGTTGTAGATGTTCTTTCATGGTAGTGCTCGCTGCTAGTATACCATTGATATATGCGTATACTCCTGTCAAACCTATAAATACCTGATCAATGAATTGCTGGAAGGTTAATCCGATGGGCATTCGCAAAATCCTAAATGAGATAAATGGAGTGATTACAGTAGTTTTGGGTATACCTTCTGGTGCCACGTGTATGTGGTAATAAGCCCGAACAAGATCAATTTTTGAAAAGACCGTGGCACCTATATAGGTAGAGATGTCGTGGATGTGCAGTACCGGATATCTATTCGACATTAGTTTGTTTGTTAAGAGCTCTATAATCTCAACATGGTCTGATTTCTCCATTCTCTTTGACAAACATATGCAACGAGGATGCCCAGGGACTATTCGATGGCCTTATGACACCAAGTTTCATCAATTTTTCGAGTTCTTGTTTCGCAATATTCAACCTTTTTGGGCCTAGCCTTCGTGGTTTTGCGTTAGTCGGTTGATCTTTCATTACAATGTGGTGCTTTACAGTATGTTTAAGATTTCTGTTATTGTATGACGCTCTCGTCAAATCAGCGTACTCATTTAGAAGCAACCTATATGACCTGCTTTTGTCTTTTGACACCACTAAATTCATTGATACGTGATCGGTTGTCACTCCTTTTATCACTACTGAATGGTCTCCGTTCACAAGCCGGTTTCGTTGGGGATCCACAAGTAATTCGAAATTCTTTAATAAGTCAATACCAATTATAGGTACGGATACATCTACGATAAGGGATTCCCAGCAAAATGAAGTGCTGAGACTGAAATTCAAGTTCAATTTTTGCTTCTCATATGTTTTTATGTCGGATTTGTTTGCTGCTTTAAGGGTTAGTACTGTATTAATATTTCGTCTTTCGTTGAACGTCGCTTATTTCTGTTCCCGTGTCTACTAAGAATTGAGTGCATGTTACTCTATCCTGGACATAAAATAAATGACTGATTCCAAGAGCTGTGCTAGTTGTCGCAGCCGTTACGGACAACCTGTGGGATCGTTTAGATTTACATGGTGATCTATATTTTCTAGCTCTGTGGCCGAACTCCTAATGGTACCAGCGTGTTGTAGGAGCTGAGCGTCTCCTACAGCATGATCGGCTTCTATCTCTTGATCTACTTCGCGACCATCTTCTTTGTCCGTCGTCCTGACTTAGGTTCGTCAGTTCGTGGCATAAAACATCAATCTTTTCTTGTAACGCATCGATTCTTTCATCTTCTGTGGAGATATGCCTATGTGGACTCGTGTGTTCCATTCTCTCAAAAATCCTATCAGCTATTTTGGTGATGTTGTCTATGTCGACATTGCTGTCCCCAACTGCAAGGATCTGTTGCACGCAGTGGGAGTCGTCGTAGTCACAAGTGATAAAATATGTTTTTCTCTACGTTTCTGTCCCCGATCGCGTTACTCATAGAATTTTTTAACTGCGACGGAGTCCTATCTCTCATTTGCACCTGACTGGGCAGCTGCTGCCGGTCGGTTGACGAGACGGCTTTTATTACTGCCTGCTTTGGTACGTCGTATGGTTTCCCTGCGTCTGGCTTAGCTAAGACCTCTCGCAAATTGTCTGCTAGTTCATCCGGAAGTAGTAGGCATCCACGACCGAATTTATCTCGCTGTAAGTGAAAACGATTAGCTAAAAAGCAAGTTTTAAAGTCTAATGAACCAAAGATGAGAGTCAGTGACCTTAAAAGGAGGAATAGTAAGGTTAATGAACCTCATGGGCGGTGATTAAGGAAGGTCTATTGTG